TCATTATCATTATCATTATCATTATCATTATCATTATCATTATCATTATCATTATCATTATCATTATCATTATCATTATCATTATCATTATCATTATCATTATCATTATCATTATCATTATCATTATCATTATCATTATCATTATCATTATCATTATCATTATCATTATCATTATCATTATCATTATCATTATCATTATCATTATCATTATCATTATCATTATCATTATCATTATCATTATCATTATCATTATCATTATCATTATCATTATCATTATCATTATCATTATCATTATCATTATCATTATCATTATCATTATCATTATCATTATCATTATCATTATCATTATCATTATCATTATCATTATCATTATCATTATCATTATCATTATCATTATCATTATCATTATCATTATCATTATCATTATCATTATCATTATCATTATCATTATCATTATCATTATCATTATCATTATCATTATCATTATCATTATCATTATCATTATCATTATCATTATCATTATCATTATCATTATCATTATCATTATCATTATCATTATCATTATCATTATCATTATCATTATCATTATCATTATCATTATCATTATCATTATCATTATCATTATCATTATCATTATCATTATCATTATCATTATCATTATCATTATCATTATCATTATCATTATCATTATCATTATCATTATCATTATCATTATCATTATCATTATCATTATCATTATCATTATCATTATCATTATCATTATCATTATCATTATCATTATCATTATCATTATCATTATCATTATCATTATCATTATCATTATCATTATCATTATCATTATCATTATCATTATCATTATCATTATCATTATCATTATCATTATCATTATCATTATCATTATCATTATCATTATCATTATCATTATCATTATCATTATCATTATCATTATCATTATCATTATCATTATCATTATCATTATCATTATCATTATCATTATCATTATCATTATCATTATCATTATCATTATCATTATCATTATCATTATCATTATCATTATCATTATCATTATCATTATCATTATCATTATCATTATCATTATCATTATCATTATCATTATCATTATCATTATCATTATCATTATCATTATCATTATCATTATCATTATCATTATCATTATCATTATCATTATCATTATCATTATCATTATCATTATCATTATCATTATCATTATCATTATCATTATCATTATCATTATCATTATCATTATCATTATCATTATCATTATCATTATCATTATCATTATCATTATCATTATCATTATCATTATCATTATCATTATCATTATCATTATCATTATCATTATCATTATCATTATCATTATCATTATCATTATCATTATCATTATCATTATCATTATCATTATCATTATCATTATCATTATCATTATCATTATCATTATCATTATCATTATCATTATCATTATCATTATCATTATCATTATCATTATCATTATCATTATCATTATCATTATCATTATCATTATCATTATCATTATCATTATCATTATCATTATCATTATCATTATCATTATCATTATCATTATCATTATCATTATCATTATCATTATCATTATCATTATCATTATCATTATCATTATCATTATCATTATCATTATCATTATCATTATCATTATCATTATCATTATCATTATCATTATCATTATCATTATCATTATCATTATCATTATCATTATCATTATCATTATCATTATCATTATCATTATCATTATCATTATCATTATCATTATCATTATCATTATCATTATCATTATCATTATCATTATCATTATCATTATCATTATCATTATCATTATCATTATCATTATCATTATCATTATCATTATCATTATCATTATCATTATCATTATCATTATCATTATCATTATCATTATCATTATCATTATCATTATCATTATCATTATCATTATCATTATCATTATCATTATCATTATCATTATCATTATCATTATCATTATCATTATCATTATCATTATCATTATCATTATCATTATCATTATCATTATCATTATCATTATCATTATCATTATCATTATCATTATCATTATCATTATCATTATCATTATCATTATCATTATCATTATCATTATCATTATCATTATCATTATCATTATCATTATCATTATCATTATCATTATCATTATCATTATCATTATCATTATCATTATCATTATCATTATCATTATCATTATCATTATCATTATCATTATCATTATCATTATCATTATCATTATCATTATCATTATCATTATCATTATCATTATCATTATCATTATCATTATCATTATCATTATCATTATCATTATCATTATCATTATCATTATCATTATCATTATCATTATCATTATCATTATCATTATCATTATCATTATCATTATCATTATCATTATCATTATCATTATCATTATCATTATCATTATCATTATCATTATCATTATCATTATCATTATCATTATCATTATCATTATCATTATCATTATCATTATCATTATCATTATCATTATCATTATCATTATCATTATCATTATCATTATCATTATCATTATCATTATCATTATCATTATCATTATCATTATCATTATCATTATCATTATCATTATCATTATCATTATCATTATCATTATCATTATCATTATCATTATCATTATCATTATCATTATCATTATCATTATCATTATCATTATCATTATCATTATCATTATCATTATCATTATCATTATCATTATCATTATCATTATCATTATCATTATCATTATCATTATCATTATCATTATCATTATCATTATCATTATCATTATCATTATCATTATCATTATCATTATCATTATCATTATCATTATCATTATCATTATCATTATCATTATCATTATCATTATCATTATCATTATCATTATCATTATCATTATCATTATCATTATCATTATCATTATCATTATCATTATCATTATCATTATCATTATCATTATCATTATCATTATCATTATCATTATCATTATCATTATCATTATCATTATCATTATCATTATCATTATCATTATCATTATCATTATCATTATCATTATCATTATCATTATCATTATCATTATCATTATCATTATCATTATCATTATCATTATCATTATCATTATCATTATCATTATCATTATCATTATCATTATCATTATCATTATCATTATCATTATCATTATCATTATCATTATCATTATCATTATCATTATCATTATCATTATCATTATCATTATCATTATCATTATCATTATCATTATCATTATCATTATCATTATCATTATCATTATCATTATCATTATCATTATCATTATCATTATCATTATCATTATCATTATCATTATCATTATCATTATCATTATCATTATCATTATCATTATCATTATCATTATCATTATCATTATCATTATCATTATCATTATCATTATCATTATCATTATCATTATCATTATCATTATCATTATCATTATCATTATCATTATCATTATCATTATCATTATCATTATCATTATCATTATCATTATCATTATCATTATCATTATCATTATCATTATCATTATCATTATCATTATCATTATCATTATCATTATCATTATCATTATCATTATCATTATCATTATCATTATCATTATCATTATCATTATCATTATCATTATCATTATCATTATCATTATCATTATCATTATCATTATCATTATCATTATCATTATCATTATCATTATCATTATCATTATCATTATCATTATCATTATCATTATCATTATCATTATCATTATCATTATCATTATCATTATCATTATCATTATCATTATCATTATCATTATCATTATCATTATCATTATCATTATCATTATCATTATCATTATCATTATCATTATCATTATCATTATCATTATCATTATCATTATCATTATCATTATCATTATCATTATCATTATCATTATCATTATCATTATCATTATCATTATCATTATCATTATCATTATCATTATCATTATCATTATCATTATCATTATCATTATCATTATCATTATCATTATCATTATCATTATCATTATCATTATCATTATCATTATCATTATCATTATCATTATCATTATCATTATCATTATCATTATCATTATCATTATCATTATCATTATCATTATCATTATCATTATCATTATCATTATCATTATCATTATCATTATCATTATCATTATCATTATCATTATCATTATCATTATCATTATCATTATCATTATCATTATCATTATCATTATCATTATCATTATCATTATCATTATCATTATCATTATCATTATCATTATCATTATCATTATCATTATCATTATCATTATCATTATCATTATCATTATCATTATCATTATCATTATCATTATCATTATCATTATCATTATCATTATCATTATCATTATCATTATCATTATCATTATCATTATCATTATCATTATCATTATCATTATCATTATCATTATCATTATCATTATCATTATCATTATCATTATCATTATCATTATCATTATCATTATCATTATCATTATCATTATCATTATCATTATCATTATCATTATCATTATCATTATCATTATCATTATCATTATCATTATCATTATCATTATCATTATCATTATCATTATCATTATCATTATCATTATTATTACTTCTAGTATTATTCTAATAGGTAGGTCCCTATCAATATTGTATGGGGCAAACATTATGTGATAGGAAAAAAATAGAAAATTGGAGCACTCATAGTGGGATGGAAGGGTAGCTTATTTTACCGTGCTATATATTCAAAATGCCAAAAGTCCGAAACTAAAAACAATGAAGTGCAATATTTCTTGCTCTATTTTCATATATAAATATTCTTATTATTCTCATTCTGGTTTGGACGTTGACTAATTGATTTTGCAGTGTTTCTTTGATACCCCAGGTCTGTTGCTAAAGAAAACTGGCTTCCCCTATAAAGATATGAAAGTGCGTGTTCAGAGTGCATGGCGTTCTGTTAGTCTTTACGATGTACTCGTTGTCATATTTGATGTTCATAGACACCTTACCAAGTTAGTTTTCTCTTGACCTGGCCTTGTAAGCGCTTGATCTATATTTCCCCTTTAATTCATCTAAACGCTAATAATAAAATGCTGATTCAACGTATGAGACACCATAAGCATTCAATAACTTTTTTAGGGATTGTTTTGTCAAGAAATGGTTTTTATATAAGTTATTGATCATACACGTAAGAATTTCCTTTTCCCATTATATTTATTTGGTAAGAGAATGTGGTTGTACAGTGATGTATTTTACCGTGGTTTAAAGTATGAACTGGAGACAAGATACCAGTTTTATAAAAAAAGGGCATCCCGGTGCACATTGGCGTCCCCGCAAGGCGAGGGTCTCGGGAAGGGTCCCACCACAAGGGTGTATTAAGGGAATGCCCCCCGTCATTTTTTCCAAGAGGTCGCTCCCTCCCAAAGTCCCAAGAGTTGAACATGTGACCTCTCAGTCACACAAAAACATCGTAACCAGTGCACCAAGGTTCCCCTTTTCGAGATACCAGTTTTGTAAGCAATATTTGTTGTCTTATCAACCTTATGTTGAGGAAGATCCAAAATAGATGTGGATTAGAGGAGTTGGGTGTGACATGTTTCTTCTAGTATCATTGGAAAGTCAATACACAAAATCATTCCACCTAAACACGTGTACAGTTAAACCTGATACTTTATTACAGGACGGAGGGAGTATGTAAATATGTTATAACTGGCATAACAGAGAAGTTTCATTATGTATTATGTGGAAATGTTTCTTTTCTAGAGGAAAGATTAGCTCATCGTTGATCTTTAACTGATCATATATAGGCCTGATCAGAGAGTAGTGAAATTGATTGAGCGGATGGGTTCTGAAGTTGACCAAAACCAAAAGCGTGTCTTGTGCATGAACAAAGTTGATTTGGTTAACAAAAAGAAAGATTTATTGAAGGTTACTGAGGAATTCAAACATCTTCCTGGATATGATGAGTAAGTTCACCCTTTTGTACCATGGATTGATGGATGATAATGCTCCTTACAATGTCTTTTTTAATCAAAAGTTTTTTTCTTAGGCATTTTATAATATCCGGGCTAAAGGGATCAGGGGTGAAAGATTTAACACAATACTTGATGAAGCAGGCAAGTATTTATTCTATTTTACTGCAATTTATCCATATGAAATATCACGTGTAAAATCATTATAGCCCATATCCATCTGCATGAGTTAATGTACACTTCTTAACATCCCAACAGCTTTTTGAACATGGCATACATTTTACTCATTCAGTACACATTTAGTCAGGGTGATGAGTGTGCAGTTTCTTTTCATTCTCAAATTAACTACTCCCTCTGTCCCACTTTGTAAGACACTTTCTTTTCTGTGTAGCTAAAAATATATGAGCATTTCACTAAATTGAACTCCACTAACTTTTTATTTTCTTACTTTATCCCTCTATCTATCAATCATTTCACTCTGAACTTTTTCTGGACACATTTTACCCTTTCATGCTTTTGGAGGTTAGAAATCTAAAAAGTCACATAACTTTCTTTTCATAAAAACCGCACCAAACATACATGTATCTTACATTGTGGGACGGATGAAGTATTATTTATATGTTTTCTATCATATGGCCTAAAAAGTAGAAGATGTTTTATCCTCATGTAGCAGTGTCCAAACATACATGTATCTTACATTGTGGGACGGATGGAGTATTATTTACGATAGTATATGTTTTCTATCATATGGCCTAAAAAGTAGAAGATGTTTTATCCTCATGTAGCAGTGTGATGCTCAGTGATTTGTTCTTCCCAATAAAACAGTTCGGTCTGTGCAATTTCACTGTTTTATGCTTTTCTCAACATATCCATAAAAGGGTGATTTCTTGCCTAATTTCTCTTGATGTGATTACTGTTTTGATATGCTTAGGCAGTCAAAAAACCATGGGATGAAATACCATTTGTCATGAGTGACGAAGTTATGAAGAACATAGCAATGGAAATTGTTAGAGAAAAGCTGTTAGATAACGTGCATCAGGTACTACTTTTTTTTTGTCTTTTAAAGATTGTTATTTGTGAGAGGGAGTAACATTATATGGATGGTTGGCAAATTTAGTGGATGTACATGGATTCAACCCACGGCTGTTTTTATTTTATAATTCAGGAAATCCCTTATGGCATTGATCATCGACTAGTTGACTGGAAGGAATTACGAGACGGTTCTCTCAGAATTGAGCAGCACTTAATAACACCAAAGATTAGCCAACGCAAGATTCTTGTCGGAAAGAAGGGTTCCAAAATTGGGTATTGCTTATTTTCTACACTTACCTGTCTTGACATAATTTCTATAACAAATTGTGTGCAACTTGGCTGCCTTTTATTTATATATGCAGGAAGATCGGGATTGATGCAAACGAAGAGTTGAGATTGATATTCAGGAGGAATGTTCATCTTGTCCTCATGGTGAGAGTTAAACAATGAGTTCAAAAATAAAAAAGAACATGTGACGATTCACCTATATATACATAGAGAAAGCTGCTGCGTCTGCTAACATGATTAACTGAGCATGGTGGGTTTAGGGTTGAAGGAAGAAGCAAACATCACACATCTCTGTGTACTATGGCCATCCACTAAGCTCCTACCCACACAACATGTAGAAGCTCTGGAGTTCTTTCAGTCTATTTGAAGTGCTGCCTTTTTCTTCTTTAATTTCTGGAAATTTTGGAAATTCATAGCGGAATGAATCAATCAATGCAGGTTGGCATCTAAATGAAGGATGTACTCTGCTTAGTCACTCTTATAATTAGTTATTGACCAGTAATAAATATTTTTGTTAATGTTAAATTGGCAGTGTGGCTTTGCTTATCTGGATTCTGCGCAATTTATCTAGCATACCAATACAAGATCCCTCCATTTCTTGGATCCAGACTATTTATTCAAGGTGTATATTGTGGTGGGAATGTTTGGACCGCCGTTGATTTACACCATATTGCTCCGTGGATATTTAGACTCTCAATTTGGAGTCTGGGGGTGATGTTTATGTTCAATAATATTTATTCTATCCCAAGATTAAGCAACATTTGAAAACCTGTTTAAAAAAAAGCCTCTTTAGGTCCTCCTATGAAAGATTGTAATTATAGTCAATCTTGCACCGATACTTCACCCCGATGCCGTATCTGCGTATCCGATATAGCTATGGCCTCGGTTCGGGCCGCTCGGCCCGGGACTGGCCCGACCCGCTACTGTGCGGGCCTGGCCCGGCCCGGTTTTCCGGGTCCGGGTCCGGTTCGGGCCGGAGGCCCGGGGGTGGGGCGGTTCCGGGCTCGGTTCATGGGTTTGACGGCCCGACCCGGCCGGTTCGGGCCCGGGCCCGGGCCAAATCTATTTTTTTTTAAATTTTTTTTTCATTTTTTTTTGGGCTGTTGGGCTTGGGTTATCTGTTTAGGCCGGTTTGGGGGGGTTTGGAGGGGTGGGGGGGTGGGGGGGAAGAAAGGAAAAAAAAAAAATTAAATCGGGTGGCCCGAACAGGCCCGGCCCGGTCCGGCCCGGAACTGGACCCGGGACCGCCCTACCCCGGTTCGGGCTCGGGCCTGCTATTACTGAACCGAGGCCCGGCCGGGCCTAGGCCCGAGGCCCGAACCGGCCCGGTTCAGTCCACCACTAATCCGATACGTATCTGATACTGACACCTCGATGCGTATCCTTTGTAAATTGTTGCATCGCCGTACCCGTATTTGCGTATCGATGTATCGGCGTATCCGTGTCCGTGCAACATAGATTATAGTCCTTACTTGACGGTTGACACTATCTTTGACTTTTTTGATTAATGGCGGTAATATTTCATTAGTTATTTTCATTAATGTTTTGTATGAAAGTCATAAATTTTTTCCGGAGTAATATTTAATAAAGATTGGAGCGGCTCCGCGTCAAAAGTGCTTTTACTTTTTCTATTACACAAAAAACACTTATTTTTCTAAACACTACCCACTTTTACCCACAATAAAATGTCAACCATATCTGATTGTAGTTTGACTTTGGGCTACTCATTCTATCAGATTAATCTACTATGATGCAATCCGAGATCTAAATAGTTAACCTTTAGATGAACTAAAAATAGTTAAGTTCTAATATATAGGAAGTGGTGTAAAAACTACAAATTGCCTTAAGCCACAATCAAGCCTTTGGGTTGGTTTGCAACTCCTTTTAAAAAAACATTTCTCAACTTTTGGCTTTAAAAAAGTATTTATTTTCCCAAACACTATAATTTTTATTTTTTCTCGGCTTCCGCGTCAAAAGTGCTTTTACTTTTTCTATTACACAAAAAGCACTTATTTTACCAAACACTACCCACTTTTACTTTTCAAAATCAATTTTTTCCCAAACACTATCAACTTTTATTTAATCACTTCTCCTCATTTAATTAAGAAAAACACTTTTCTAAAACCAAAAGCTGTTGCAAACAAACCCCTAGTACATATAATTTTATTATAAAACTAATACGGAGTAGTAAAATACCAAAGGGGAAAATAACACATGATGAAAGATTTCCATTTTAATCAAATCGTGCTAAAATAGACATGGAGTTGCACGGCAGTGGATTGCAAATAGTTTAATACCTTTTTTGTTATTACCCATACTAAATGATGTAATATATGGGTGAGGTATATACATAATACATGCATCCCTTCTAGGGTATGCGAAGAGCCATATATGATGGAAGGGGCGAATGGATGGAAACAGTTACGAAGTGCTTCGTATAAAGACGGAGACATGACGGAGAAAGCAGATCAATTCCAAAAAGTACAAATATATGAACATAATGTACAACCCCATTAAGCAATAGTATTACACTAACAATTTTTTTATCCCTAAAATGTCCTAACCTTCATTGGCATTTATAAGTTTTTAGATTAGATTTAGCAATTGTATCCCAAATAAAATTTTGTGTAAAATGACGTATAACACTTCCGTCCCGATCTTTATGTTCATCGTACTCCATCATTATTCCTCCATAGGTTAAAGAGTTAAATATGTTTTCAAACTAACAAAGTGCAAATCACCCCTTATATTAGAGGTTCTATATGGCCGTTGTCATTTGGGCTGTTCCCGGTGGGTTTTTTTAATGAAATTTTTTAGCATCTTATTCATTAAGTCTAATTTACTCATATCAAATTTCAACTAAAAAATTAATCGAGAAGACAGTCAAATGATTTTTTAGAAAATTATTTGACTGTCTTTCCGGTTGAATTTTTATCTGAAACAATGTATGAGGAAACTAGACTTAATGAAGAAGATGCACAAAAAATTTCATCAAAAAATTCCACGGGGAACCGCCCCAAATGACGACGGACGAACAGAGCCTCCTATATAAGGGGTGATTTGCACTTTTTAAATTAGTTCGAGGGCCTATTTGACCTTTTAGCCTTACTCCATACTTCCTCCGTTCTTTTTTAGTTGCAACATTCCATTTTTTCACGCTTGTCAATACACAACTTTGACCGTCATTATATTTAATTCTCTATTAGTAATTTTTTTTTAAAAATCAGTTCATAAAACTTTGTAACGAGATGAATTTAACAATATTTAAAAAAAACCCGGAGTAATTCATATATTAATAAATAAAATGTCGTCAAAGTAGAGTACATGAGTAATTTGTTAATTTTGTACTCCGTAACTATTATGATACGGGTTATATAGCAGGAAAAATTGAAAATAATAATCCCAACTATTGGCAGTCCGCTGAAAATAATCTCAACTATTGATTATTTTTGTTTAATCCCTACTATATAGACTATCCGCCAATAATGGTCCATGACCAGATATTATCTACTATAACAAGTAAATTTTAAATAGAAATTAAGCGTAACAATCAAAAATTGAGATTGTTTATAGAGATTACTTCTATATCTCTTGTCATCCATTTTAGAAAGTACAAGAATTTATTTATATGCATCATTATTGACGGAAGGTATCTAAAGTTGGGATTATTCTGAGTAGACCGACATAAAAGTCAACATTATAAATTGAAAAGTCTAATTCCAAAGTTGAACTTTTTGCTCCAAGGGTAGCATACAGAAAACTACAAAAATACATTAAATGCTCAACTCCAAACTTGTTACTGCATAATACCCCACCCCAACCCTACTGCATAATGGATCAACCACTGCTACAGTACTAATTAATTAAGATAGAATAAACTAAGTACTAGTTACTGAGTAAATAAATTAAAAAAGTACTCGAATTACTGGTTAAGGAGAGAAAGAGTGAAAGGGAAGAGTCAAATGATCGAGAAGCGCGGTTATTGGTGCCGCCAGTCTCGGGTTATAAGCAAACCCATGCAACTCATCCCCGCCGCCTCCGCCGCCGCCATAGACGGAGGAGCCATCTGCATAAGGGACGAAGGGGCAGGGAGGGACCCACACCCACGTCTTCCTTCCGAAATCGAACAGTAGAGCCTTGTCCGAGCAGTTCTTAATCGTTATCAGCACGAATTCCCCGTGCCCGACGCAGTCGAATCCCTGCCCGTTCTCCGCCTCCACGAACTGGAGGTACAGCTGCTGGGGCATCCTCTCGATCTCCACCCACGTCGCGCCGCAATCCTGTAGGGCCCACATCCTCAGGCTCCTCGGCACGTTCAGGTTGCTCTTCTCCACCGCCGCCACCATGATCAGCCTCCCCGCCCCGCTCCCGACCAAGCTCGGTGACCGCAGGAACCGCCTCATGGGTGCTTGGATCTTGCACCAACTGTTCGACGAAATGTCGTAACAGAGTACCCCGAAGGGGTTGTAGTTCATGCAGTAGAATCTCCCCTCTGAGTAAACCATCTCGCCTGATTCAAAGCTGCATAGTCTCGGCAGAGGAGATGCTGTCCCCCATAGGGAGTAGAACCCATTTGCATCGATGTGGAAGCTCTCCGTTGTCAGGTTCTTCACCGCGTAGGGAGATATCAAGTCGTCACCCGCCACGGCCAAGTCTATCGAGGTGTCGGTTATGTTGAGCCCGATTGAAGGGAAAAGTCTCGGCCTAAGAGTTGGGGCGATTGGGATCAAAGACCCGAGGAGGGGATTGGATAAAAGGATGTTCTTTGAGCCCGCCTCCTCGGAAACCCAACCGATAAGCCCGCCCGAGGAGGTCGCGGGGGTGAATCCCGGAGGGATCAAAGGGAGGGAAAGGCGGTACCATGTGAGCGTGTGAGGGTCAAAGAGGTAACCTTCCTCATATATTGTCCCCCCATTGCTGCTGTTGTTATTGTTGCTACCATAAATGTAGCTCTTGACGCTCTTCTTGTGTTTGAAGAATATGAACCAGGGACAATGTGGGGAAACCTGGAGATACAATTCAAGAAAGGCTGCAGAGAAGAGAAGGCTATACCATCTCTTGCAGACGGTTCGAGCTCGGAAAAAGGCGGGTGGGGGGAGGAAGGCGATGATCCTATCGATCAGCCTCTGAGGGAGCCTACTCCAGATCCTACTGTCCATCCACATGCTGCCCATAGAATTTGTGGCCCCACCGCAGATGTTCATTACTGTTGCATTTGGAAATCCATATGGAAATGGAATGCCAATAGTGGGGTGATGATAAAAAGCTTCCATTATGGTGCTTCAATTGGTTTTGGTTTGTTATGGAAAGTGAGAAGATTGAGAACTACAAAGGTTTCTACTTTAGAGCTGAAGAGAATTAAAGGCTAGAAAGAAGCAAGTAGCAATAGGGGAATGTTAAGGTTTTGCTAAGGGCTATGTTAAGGAAATGGAGGCAAAGAGGGATAGTTTCACCAAAGAGGAAGGAAATCCAGGGAAAAAAACAAAGTGATGATTTTTGGCAGAGAAAAAGAGGGTTCTAACCTTATTGCTCTATGGTTGCATAGGGTTGCTTCTTTTGAAGAAAGGGACCATTGCTTATATAGGATGGGTAATAGGAGGTCAGACCTACCCACACCTCTTTCTTGTTGTGTGTCTTACTTTAATATTTTCACTTTGTTTACGCGTAGTAATTTATTGTTCTCTAGTTTGCAGGATGGAAGAAAAAACTTTGAAAGTCTTCCTTTGTGATGGATCCATCTATCATTTCAGTGTTTTCATGTCAAGACCAAGGTCCAAGGAGAGGATGGGAAGAAAAACAAGCATCAGGTCAACATCACCAGATAGATACACTCACTACTGAGAGAGTGCTTCCACTCAACACCAGATTTTCCTTGGCTTTTTTTTCTTAGTTTTTGGTTTCAAAAAAACTTTTTTTTTTAAAATTTCCTTGGCTGTTTTTCTAAGTGTTGCCAAGGCTAGGGTATTAATTGTTTTATGACTTTAACCAGATTTGAGTTGCTCTTTCAGGTAGCTTAGAATGGTGTGGGGAATATTATGGGGCAAGTTTTAGGGTTCTGCAAAAGCTGGAGGCCCTAGGCAGATCGAAAAAAAAACGGATTCTTGTAATCATTAGTGTCTTTGGTTAAAAAAAAGGGATTAATATATCATTCTTGAAAATCTTTTGTTCTGAAAAACTCTTCTTTTTAACTTCTTTTTAACTTAAAGGCTGCTATTATTATGAATCATTTGTTATTCAGACATTGGATAACGTTAACTAGAAACACGTACTATACGTTGTCGTGTGAATCATCATTTTTATAAGCACGTTCGTACCTACCAATTTAATAGGGGTTTTATACAAGTATTCTAGTCATCAAGTGTTAAATTAAATGACTAGTCATAACTCATGTAAGTTTTACTCCAGTCGATATTATTCCTTGTAAGATTAACCTACATAAAAAGAGAAATTGGTACATATAGCCATATAGGTGTAAAATACGAGTATAATTCATGTACACATATAGGAGCGTAAGAGTATCTAAAATTCTTCCTGTGCATACTTTTTTGTATACATATATTGCACTTGTCTGTGGGTAGAAACTTTTTTGTTTGTGAATAGTCTGTTTACAAACAAAGCATGTTTTCCTATAGACTATTCAATTCACAGACAAAAAATTGCTACTTACAGATGTGGGTAAGATGAAGTGTACAAAAATATGTGTACGAATAATTTTTTTTCAAGAGTCTTCTCTATTTATAGAAGACTCGATCATTCTGTCTTATAGAAGAATAAAAATATGAATACTACAAATTTCGGTGTCCCCAATATAGAATTTTAATGTTTTCTGAAGATTTATAGTTCATGAATTTATATAAAAAATCACTGATTCTATCATTAATCAATAGAATTCTATGAAATCAATGAGACCTATGGATAAGAATCTAAATTTTCATAAACAAGTGTTGTTTTAGGTTAGAAGTCTAAGAGGCCGTTTGGCAATACTATTTTTCGGCTTATCAGGCTTATCAGCCAACTTTTTCACCAAATACGTAACTTTTGCTTTCGCGCGCTGAATTGTGTAATAAGCAGAAAAATTAAGGTTGAAGTTACTTTTCTGGCTGTATTGACTGAAGTTACTGTAGATGATCATTTTAGCTATTTTTACATATAATTTTTCCTTTGTTTTATTAATAAAATATATTTTAAAATATTTTTTTCTTAAATCACCAAAATCAGCCAATGCAGCCACTTCAGACAGAACTTCATAAATTTCAATAGAATCAGCCAAATCGACCGATTTTCATGCTGCAAAACGGGCTCTAAATAAGAGTGTAAGCTAGGGAAATCCACATTTTAAGAGAACCCACAAAAAACAACTCAAATGAAGACATCTAGATTTTAAGGAATGCACGAAATTTTTAATCGGGAACACCTGAAATTTTATTGAATCCTCAAATTTCTGAATTGAGAACATTTGAAATTCCTCGGAGTTCCATATGGAGTTCCACCTTAAAGGAAAAATAGTGAAGGGCTACTCTGTTGGTGATGCTTAATTAGAGATGACAACGTAACGAGGTCGGTGGGGACGGTTATACATAAACGTGCCCACTCTATTAGGTATGATAATTTTTACCGAGTAGATAATTTTTATTCCTTGTTTTGATAGTTTAATACGAAGTACGTAGTATAAACAATTATTCATAGACCCACAAGGAGATGAAGAAGGCGATGCGAATCAATTTAAGCCAAAAAAATACTTAGACACAAACTATTAATCAAGAATAAATTCAATAATATTCATCAAACTAGATTCTTATATTAAGATCTATTGTCAAATCCAAAGAGGATGAATCTCAAAAGCTAACTTTATTTTCATTCATGATGACATCCATATATTACATATGTAGTACATTATTAAACGAAGAAAATCTCAACCTTTTCCGTGTGATTTAAATAATAGGAAGAAATGGAATCAAATTGATTACAAATGAAAGATGCGTCTTGTAATGGGTCTGGTAACAGATCGAGTAAACATAAAATCGTAATCGAGACCCATTACATGTAAAATGTAACGATTATTCTTTACCCAATCAATACAATTTGCTCTTATCTATTTTGATCCGAGCAGTTTAGTTTATGTATGTATCCATCATGTTTAATAAAATTATCATCCATATGCATGCTTAATATGGTTGAAAATTTTGAAATTGCTAAAACTAGAAAACCTAAATAATGTATAGTACTTATATACCCCTCCCAATCCCTCCCATACCTTGTGACATCAGTTGGCCTCGATGTTTCAATGACATGCCGCCTCTGACCCCCGTTGCCATAGTGACCAAAATCTATGGCTTAAAGCCCACCACTTTTTGCATATACTCCGTCTGATCTTTGTAAGGATCTGATGAGCTAAAACGATAATTATTGGAGAGAATATGGATTAAATACTGTTATATTTTGTAAGAAGGATTTTGTACCAATATATTACGTACTACGTAATAATATTTAGTTTGACACAATGCTTTTGGTACATATGATATTTTTTGCATATTCATACAAACTGTTTGTACTTCTTTGTTACTCAGTATGAAGCAACAATCAATCCATGTAATTTTTGGTGCGATTTTCACTATGAGTCATGTCGAAACAGTCTCTTTGTACTTTAGTACAGGGATGAGACTACGTACATTCGATCCCCTTACCCCGTAGGTGACAGTCTTTGTGGCACTGTGGTAATGATGACGATACAAACATGCATAAGCTTATATTTAAGACTTGATGCATGTTAGCAAAAAGTAATAGTCCGTACTTACTTTGTACGGAGTATACCAATTCAATAATTAAGATCCTTTTATGCTTACAAACATAAACTTATCTTACACTCCTCTGTAGTCTGTTTAAGAATAAGTTGTTCGTCCAGAAAAGATTGTGAGAGAACAAAATATCTTGCCTATATAAAGATGACGTTAATCGTGATGTAGATAAAGCACTACACTTATTTTTCACCTTACAAGTCACCATGCAACAAGTAATATATAGGTCTGTTTTTGTTTGACTCTCTTGCAGCAATTAATGTATGGTTTGTTTATATATGCAAGGAAAGAAAAACGATCTGATGACACTACAACAAAATTGACCTTTTGTAACACTTTGCGTGCAACACTTTTATTTTATGTTACATATAACACTTTGAGTTAAAATTATGCAACACTTATACATAAGTATTGCATAAACCTATAGAATAGAGAATTACGCAACACTTATTGGAAGGCGTTGCATATTTTAAGTGTTATGTAACATTTATTTTCCAGTGTTGCATATTTTTAAGTATGATGTAACATTTATTTTCAAAGTGTTACATTTTATTAAATATTACGTAACTTTTATTCTCCGAGGGCCTTAAACCAAAATAAAATAATGAACTATATTTATGTACGTAATACATACTAAAGAGAACATGGATGCCGTTATAAAAGGTTAACCATTGATAATTTTTATTTCTAATTTATCGACCATATCATCTACTCCATATTATTTTTGTAGTGATTGGCTTTTGATTTTGCGGCTTAGTTCTGTAGTAATTAATAATAATAATAATAATAATAATAATAATAATAATAATAATAATAATAATAATAATAATAATAATAATAATAATAATAATATTAATATTAATAAGTAAAGTTAAGTTTTTTTTTTCTGAATCACTAGTGCAAAATATACTTCATACAATTTATAATTAGGTTTTATATGGGTTCACTTGACCGTTGTTAAATGTAGGCGCAGGGTCATTTTTACAAATACCAAAAGTTCGAGTAAAGTTTTTTTTGAAAGGAAACAGTTCATATTAGAATGAAACGAACCATTACATCCAACAAGACCCCAAACCAAACATTCTCACTAGACCCACAATACCAAAAGCCACAAGGATCTTTTATACTCTATATAATTTAAGGAAACTTAGAGGCCGTTTTGACAACACTGTTTTTCGGTTTATCAGGTTTATCAACCATTTTTTTCACCAAACACGTAACTTTTGCTTTCGCGCGTTGAATTGTGTAATAACCAGAAAAAGTAAGGTTGAAGTTACTTTTCTGACTGTATTGACTGAAGTTACTGTAGATTACCATTTTAACTATTTTTACATATAATTTTTTTCTTTATTTTATTAATAAAATATACTCCCTCCGTTCTTTTTTATTAGTCCTCTTAGGGTTTGGCACGGGTTTTAATAATAAAGTAGTAGGATAAGTATAGAGTGTGTAGGGTAAATGATAAAGTAGAAAAGATGGTATATTAAAAAGAGTAAAGTGATGATAAAGTAGGAAAGAGAGTGTATTAATAAGAGTAAAGTGATGATAAAGTAGGAAAGAGAAAGTAGTTTGTAAAAAGTAAGTGAGGTAAAAGTAATAAAAGTGGGGGTATTTTCTCAAAAACTTTCCTTAAAGGGAAAGGAGGACAAATAAAAAAATACGTCCCAAAAAGGAAAGAAGGACTAATAAAAAAGAACGGAGGGAGTATTTAAAAATTTTATTTTTCTTAAATCAGCAGAATCAGCCAATGCAGCCACTTCATCCAGAACTTCATAAATTTCAGCAGAATCAACCAAATCATCCGATTTTCGAATGGGAGCTGTTTTACAATTTTAGAAAATATTATTTAATGTTAGTTCAGTTTTAACCCTTAATTCCAAAAGTGGCAACCAAAAATTAAACACCTAGGGTAAGGTAAACACTAAGCACTCGACCGCTGCTGCTCCCATCCTTCTCCCTAAGCAACAGACTGACGGCTTGGACGAAGACAACGCCTCCGCCGCTGCTCGTGAGGATTTCGACGAACATGATGCCGCAACCTGACGACTTGTACGAAGACGACGCCCCTGCTACTCCAGGAGACTTCGGCTAAGATGCCGCTGCTCTCGGCGATTCGACGAAGGCGCCGCCACCTTACTGCTGCTCCAACCACTTCTGCGACAGTCAGCTCGCCTCCAGGTAAATTCTCATTTTTTTCTTCAATGGAAATGTCCTCAGTTTTGAGATTCATTTGTTGGTAATTTGTAAACTCGCAATGATTTAATATAGTGGCATGAAACTCCACGGCATGAAATCCAATTTAAGTTCAATTCCAGGCAATTCTAATGAATCTTTCTCAATGTATGTTTCAAGTTCAATCTCGAAAAGAATCAGAATGTAACTAACTAACTACCAGCCAATTTTTCACAGAACTCAGAATGAAATTCCCTGCCACAAATAATTAGATTCATTTCTAAGCTCAATTCCAATTTAGTGGCATGAAATCTCCAATAAATTGAATACATAAATACATAAATACTATGAAATTGAGTAATGATATTGTACAATAAATGAATTTAAAATACTCCTGTGAAGTGTAAAATGTTGGCTTTGTTGTTTTCGGTTTTCCATTTATGGTTATACAGGTAGTGAATGAATATAACTCATTTATTAGTTCTCAGTTTAGAAACGTCTGGCTGCAGCTGTTGTTTATAATTTGTTTGTAAAAATGCTCAAGTCAACTTTACTAATGCTAATTATCATTGGTAGCCTTGTTTTCTTCCTGTTGCTGCTCAGATTGTACAGACATTCACAAACAGTCACACTCACAGTTTTAATAAACATTCTCTATTGTGGAGAAGTACTCGTGAATTAGAATATATCATACACGGAGTATGAGTATATGAATTAGAGTGGGGTTTACATTTACATTGTGCAAGTCTTCTAATATATACTACGTAGTACAATAGATTGTGCAAAATATGATCTACATAACTATACATGGATAAATGGTAGTCCTTTTTCATTCGTCTGGATTTTCCAAATTCGTCTTAGTTCCATTGATTGCAAGTGACAATATCTTTTCCTGCATTGTTCTCCAGCTTAGAACGAGCTGTATCATTTTTGTTGCGTCACTTCTCGTAATCTCAATCTTTTGAATATTGGGCTTGATGAAGAGTTGCATGGCCCTCTAACTCTGTAAGTGTAGTACATGCAATACAAAAGATGGTTATTACTTCACTATCTCCTTACCCAACTTGAATTTGATACTATGAGAACCCTGCAGGTACCTGCACGTGTTCTAGTTGGGGCTATTTCTTCCTGGAGTGATATATGCACAGAATTAGAGCAGGAGCAATGACCAATAGTTTAGAGATTGTGAAACGAAGTATCAACAATTACAAAGAAAGGTGCTTGAATTAGCATCCCATAAATATACACTAACATTTGAAATATCATTATACTACGTACGTATTACATGTACATGAAACTATGGTTCTTATTTTTATAGGACATCAAAAGTGTACTACATGACACAGAGGCTGGAACAGAGAGGACTAATAGCAACTCAACATTGGTGATGTGCTTTCTATGTGCAAAGAAGATTTATTAGAGGCTGAGTGTGCCTTTGAGTGAATAAGTTGGGCAGTTGGTGTGATGAATTTGCTGCTTCAAAGGTCCCTAGACCATGATTTTTCTTCTCGGCAACAGAAGACAAGTGATTCCATTAGTTAGCTAGAGTGACATCATTATGATATGCTGCTTTGTATGATTTCAGTATAGTGTTTAAACGGTTGTCTCCTGATGTAGTTTAGAAATATATCTTTATAAGTAATTTGAATGTTATTTTATATAATTGTGCATCAGAGGTTTTAATACATATGTAGTTAATTACATTCCAAATCTAAGTGGAACTCATTATCATCTAAATATATTAAGAACTAGTTAATATATGACGTGATATACTAAATCCAGAAAAATGTTGCATAAAGAGTTGATACATGTGTTGCACACGAATCAAATAAATGTTGCAAAAAATACAACAAATATGTTACATAAATATAAAAAAAGTGTTGCCTTAAGTAGATTCCAAGTGTTACATTTTATTCAAAAAACGTTGCATAAACTTTGGTTGAAGTGTTTCAAAAAAGTGTTGCATTTGAACTATTTATGCAACAATTCTATCTAATGTTGCCTAAAATGTTAAAAAGTGTTACATATGACATTATGCAACGAGACCTGAAGTAACGCCTATGAAAGTGTTGCGTTAGCCTTTTGTAACACTTAAATCTTATAATGTAACACCTTTTGCATGTTACAAAAAGCTTGTTTTGTTGTAGTGTGAGGAAGAACTTCCCACCAACAGTCTACATATAAATGGAAAAAGTTGTGCTCAGATCGCTACATTTATACTTTGTGTTTCCCTTGAAGAAATGGCCTTTTAAGGATAAAATCTTAGTACTCTGATTTTGAAATTCTTCATTCCTTCAAGAAACCCTCTGGCCTCTACCCAATTTTTTATGGACTTTATGTCCCTGAAGCAAATTGAATACACAAAGAAAATGCATAGTGTCTAGCTTATTATAAATTGTTTAAAATTCGTAACCTTCTGAAATAGGGTGGTCATTGGCAGTAAATGATGTATTGGTTAATTAATTCGATTTAAATGTGATTTTGCAAGTAATTGCTCTAAATGGGAGTAAAACAATTAGAAAATTCCTAAATAAGACTCCTTATTGATTTATTCCCTAAATAGGAGCTTCTGGTTGACTGGTCCGTTCGTTTTGTCAATTTTGCCCTTCGTTACACATGCCATATGGAGTAATTAAATTTATTCTGTCAGATCTCTTTTCTTTTGTCGGACTTATCTTCCCTATTTTCAAACAACCTACCCTGAGCCTATCCTCTCTCTCTCTTCTCACGCAACCCTCCATCTCCTCTCTCCTCCATCTCCTTTCTCCACCTCTCTTCTAACATTTCTCCCAATTCCAGATTTCTCATCAACTCAGGCCACCGGCGCGGCAGACGGTGGCAATCATCGGTAAGTTTGATCTTTTTCTCCTCCTTTTCTTCTTCTCTTTTTCTCCTTCATCTTCTCCTTCTTCCTCCTTTTATTTTAAATTGTTGAGCAACATGGCCTTCTGTTTTCTGATTTTTGCTGCTCGATTTGTGCTTCCACTTTACTCTCTAGGATAAGAACCAAGTTTTATTGGTAGTATTTGATTTTGGCTTCTACTTTATTCCTTCTTCCCAGATCTGCTTTTGCCGTTTTTTGTTTTTTACTTTTTTGGGTTTTTCTTTCAATTTATTGGAAATTGGATTTTTATACGTTTGATTTCAATCAATATTTTTGTAATTTCGAAATTGTTTTTTAGTTTGAATATGGAATTTCCAAATCGCTATTTTTACATAATTTTTATATTACTAATATAAAAAAATACTGCTTTACTAAAATAATACTATTAATGACATGTTTTCTATTTGAAAGTATTGTTTTAACTCATAATGCCATTTTTATGACACTAACTAAATCAAGATGACAAATATAATACCAATAATGCCATGGTTTTCATATAAATATTGTTAATTTTGCACATATTATTTTGACACATAATGCCATTTTTATGACAATAAAGTACTAAACTAAATCAAGATGACAAATATAATACCTATAATGCCATGTTTTTCATATAAATATTGTTAATTTTACACATATTATTTTGACACATAATGCCATTTTTATGACAATAAAGTACTAAATTAAATCAAGATGACAAATATAATACTAATAATGTCATGTTTTTCATATAAATATTGTTATTTTTGCACATTATTGCCATTTGTGTGGCACTAATTACATGAAGATGACATTATATGACACTTTAAAAAACAGTATTATAATGCCATAAGATTGTCATGATGGCAATAAATCGTCTTTTGTTTTAATATGAATACCATTAAGAATTTAAGATGAGTTTTAAATGTTGAGATGTCATTATCAAGTATTTTTTTCAGATCTGAGTTTGGCAGGTGTGGATGAGGTGTTGGTGCCCATGAGAAGGAGGCCTTGACGGAGATGGCGGCTGCGGTGAGGTCGGCGGAGGTGGAGGAAGCAATGGCGGCATCTGGCAACGGTGGAGACTGGCAGAGGCGACATCCAGCGACAGCGAAGTCCAGCAGCGACGGCGGCAGCGAAGTCCAGCGGCGAAGTCCGGCGGCGACGGCGACGGCGAAGTCCGGCGTCGACGGCGGGGACTGGCGGCAGCAAAGTCCGGCGGCGACGGCGGCAGCGAAGTCCGGCGGCGACTGGCGGCAGCAAAGTCCGGCGGCAATGACTGGTGTAGGAAGTGTTGTGGTCACGCCTTCAAGACAATTCATCGTTGTGTGTGTTTATATTTTATTATTCTATTTTGTAATTTTAATAGATAGTGTAGGATTTTCATTAAGGGTAATTTTGAGAACTCATGTCTTTTTAGTCCTATTGAATCACACGGAACATACAACTCCTCTTTTTGCATTTTTGTTATGTTTTGCTCCTAGTTAGAGAATAACCTCCCGATAAGCAGTTCAACGTACCAATGTTATAACATTGGTACGTTGAACTGCTTATCGGTTGACCAATGTTCGGCACAGTTACTCGACCGCTTAACCAAAACAGCATGCACGTACGGTACAGTTATTAAACTTTGTTAAATACGAAATTTTCTACGTTATTGCATTTTATTATGCTTGAGAATATTACATGCATATGTCTTGTACAAATAATGCATGGTCTCATAGCTTAAGCACCCTGGTATAAGCTATAAACATATATTTGCATAAGCCTTTTGTTAAATTTAGAGATCAGACCGTGCTTTAGTATCATGTTTTTTCATTTTGTTTGTATAAATTTCTATTTCATACGGGTTTATTTTCATGTTTTTCTACATAATTAACATTGTTTTCCAAAAGAGATGAAATAATTGCTATGTATAATCAAACATTTTGTTCCAAACATTGTACCATTAATAACTAACTAACTAAATATACGATGAAAATGATACACGTACAAACCCATCAAATACTCAATCCAGCTCTACTTTAAAATTTGATTTATGTGATGGTTTGATAACGTCTTTCGATGAGTTAAGAGATTGGATTTGTAACCGGAATGTGACATCACACAACTTTTGTTACAAATTCAAGATGTTACGTTGCTGGTATTACATACTACGTAAAATGTTTCTAAAATATGTATGTACTATTATTTTTTATGAAAAATTATCTTAAATAAGACTAAAAACGTTTATGTATTTCAAGTAAAACTATCATTGTTTTTTGAAAGGAAAAACTATCATTGTTTTATTCCCTATACTTTATAATTTTAAAGATGACAATATTTTTCAAACTTGACAGTAATGACTCCTATTTAGAGAATAAAAACATGCAACCCTATTTTGAAATTCTCAAAGATTTTTACTCCTATTTTGAGAAAATGAGCATTGATATGATCGAAAACCATATTTTTTTAGTCGAACTTCAAGACATTTTTATTGAACATCAAACATTCGCTATTGAGTATTAGAAACATGCAATTGAGTATAAGCATTTGTATAATATGTTAAAATGATCTAACACCAGTACAAAATGAGCATACATTACTTACCAAATGAGCAAGGAATTTGTGATTCACATCATTTTGTTACTCATTTTTACATATTTCTCTCTCCTCTGTACAACTTTCCACCACACAATATACCCACTATCTTACTTCCCCTGTCCCGCTAGGATTGTCCCAGATACTATATATTTGGTCAACACAAATCACTCTTAATATCTTACTTTGTAAAACTTTTATGGTAGTTTCTGAATATGCATTTCTTTAAAAATAATTTGAGTGCGGACATAGATTTATTTGTACTTGAACATATAAATTAGGAATGGAGGGAGTACTCCGCAGCTTTTATTGCTTCAATACCATTTTCTCATAAAATGCTTTTTATTTTCTCAACCTAAAAAGGTGAAAATGTCGCCCAAAAAGGCAAAAACGCTTCAATCTTTTTTTTTTTGAACAGAAAAAACGCCTCAATCTTATTTTCTCAACCTAAAAAGGTGAAAATGTCGCCCAAAAATGCCCACGCACACGATGACCCAACTTACAGACCGATTATTAAACCGTAAATCACAACATGATCTCAATAAACAATTTGCGAGTAAGGTGATTTAAATCTGATAAGATTTCTACCTAAATTATACTCCCTCCATCCCAATATTATATTCACTCTTTCTTTTTTTGTCCGTCCCAGTAAAAACTCTTTTTTCCAAATTTTGACAAAAAACATGTGATTCACAACATTTGTCCCCTACTTACTCTCTCCTCTGCACAATTTTAGGTCACACATTTATCACTTTCTTAATCTATGTGTCCAGTCAAAACATGAGTTAATATTGGGACAGAAGGAGTAACTATTAGGAATTAAATGTGCAACCAATCCAACCATGCTTGACGTACTCACTCTTATACCTTCACAAACATAGGTGGATACAAAAGTGGGTATAAGAGTGATATATAAAAAGATCTTTTTGTTAAATGTTAGACCTCAATTCAACTATCTTATTCACCCATGGTTGACGGTTTTTATTTTCCTCACAGGGAACTGAAGGGAGAGATAGGAGTTCAGCTTGTGCGGTTACGTTACTTTGCAAATACAATGGTTGAATAGTTTGACTTTGAATAAATGAAGTGAAGGAGTGGTACGATTGAATTTGATAGTGGGAAGTGCACGATTGAAATGATGGGCATCCTTCAATTCAGTGCAAATAATGACACTTGATGATGATGATGATACGAGAGCTTTTCTTTCTTCTTCTTCTGCTTGTTTGATCGATGGATCAAAACCTGATGGAAATGATTCAAACTCAAGTTATGATCCGGCGGATTATGGTGAGTTGACAGCGGTAAACCGTTGTTTATAACGGATTGTTGGGAGTTTCAAAGGATAAAAGGAAGCATGCATGTCAGTCAGCAGGCACCTGACACGTACAACTCCTGATCATCTTCAATTCATGTCGTCACCACGTGGGCACAAGTACGGTGAGTGTGACCATATCTTTGCTTCCATGGCCATGATCTCTTCTTGCTAATTCTACATTTAGAAATGCCGGTCACATACAATTGGTACAAAGTTGCATGTGAGTACAGATAAGAATTGTTTGTGTACACAGACAAATTTGTCTGTGTCCACAAACATTTACTTTTTTTGTAAAAAGTACACTGACAGAAAAGTAAATGTTTGTGGACACAGACAATTCTTGTCTGTGCTCACAGGCAACTCCGTACCAATTGTCTGTGACCGACATTTTGTGTACAAGTTGTGTACAACTTGTGTACCCCTAACATTTCTCTTCTATATTTCAGCTTGAATTAATTACGGATGCTATTAAATTAGTTCATTTTTTTCTAATAAGTATTGGGTGAAATTTCGGAGTAGGATTATTTTAACTTTTTCGCAAATATACTTTTTTTTTTACTTTGTTAATGAAATATTTCGAATTCAAATTCATTAACAAATTCAAAAGATTCAACCATTCATCCGCTTTCACAAGAATCTCTTCAATTTCAACGTATTCCATTCAACTGATTTAACTAATTTTGATACTATAAGCCGTTATATCTTCCCAAAGCCATACAATTTTACACGGTTCTATTTGTTCACGCCTCAAAATATTTCAGCCATCCAATTTTTGTTTATTAAGTTAGACAATAACCAAATTAAAAGATTGTGTTTAAAAAATTGAGCTTCACACACACACAATAAGAGCATGTTTAGTAAGCCCTATTTTAAACGTGTCACTCTTATTAGTCAACTTGTTTTTACCAATGCAAACACAAGTTTTAACTTCATATTTAAATTGTGTGATAATTAAAATGAATAGAGTTGAAATTACTTTTCTGGTTAAATTTGCTGAAATTAATGCAAATGACATGTTAGATATTTTCTATACACATATATTGTTATTTTATTAATAATAAAAATTTAAATAATTCATATAACCTTTTTTACATAACAAACCAGATTCTGATGATAATTTAGCCGTTTCAATAAAAATTTCATCAATTTAAATAGATTTAGTCAATTTAAGTGTTGTCAAACAGTTTCTAAATATGCAACACAAATTACCCAAAAATAATTAATGTGCGACACAAATAAGAAATGCCCATTCATGAACAATTAAATATATAAATGATGTCAACATTAATTTTCATGCACCAAATGTATAAACAATCATGTTTGGTGTACACTAGTTTGTGTGCATCATTCGCACATATTGTTTGTCTACACACTTGCAAAGTTGTCTAAATACAAACAACACTATCTGCGGTCTCTTGCCAGATTGGTAAAAAAAATCATTTGAGACAAATTAGTAAAAAAAAAAGAAGTCCCATTTATTTGAGTGAGACACTTTTGATCCTCGATTTTAAAATTCGCGACATTTCATATTTTAAGTATTGTGAAATTGACATTTTCAGTTCTTCTACTTTAATTTTGTCATCACAAGGAAAGGATTAAAAATGTCAACGGTCGTGTTATATATTAGTAGGTGTTTGTTAGCTAATAGGTGGTTGAATCAGCAATTTGATACTAGCGGATCCGTTAGCTTTTTAACTAACCGCTTTCATTAACGGTTTGAAATAAAATGTTAGTGACTTAGCTGTTTGCAATTAGCTTTTAAGACGTAAAGTGATCATTAAGGATATGAATTTAAAAGTTTATTTATTTAATAAAAAAATCTTTTTTTAATAAGTCTAGGAAAAAGTTTTCAAAATTATATTTACATTTATTTTAAATGACCACTAACACTATCATTTTTAACATATGCATATCAATGCGAGCACACACATATAAATTCAAATATTTTATTTGCATAACACACAAACAAATACAACATGAATGCATTAAAACAAAGAGAAAGTATAATACTTTAGAGCACTAGGGTCGACACGTAGCTGATTACTACCTCCGTCCCTTAAAACTTTGCCAAGTTTGACTGGCACGGGAATTAATAAAGTAAAAACTGTGTGGTTGAGGTTTGTGCAGAAGAGAGAGAATTAACTGGAACCATAAATTATTTACTTAAAAGAGAAAGTGGCAAAGTTAGTGAGACATCCAAAAAAGGAAAGTTGGCAAAGTTTTAAGGGACGGAGGGAGTACTTAGGAAGGGAATCACTGTGAGAAGTGAGCCAATCTTTTACTGCATTAAGATTGGGCAACACAGTCTCTCCAGATTTCCTCCAAAGCTCAGCATCAGATGTCTTGAACCGATCAAGCAGTATCACATTCATCCCCATACTCCTTGCAGGAATAATATCTTTCCTGATGTTGTCTCCTATGTGAAGAACTTCTTCAGGCTAGGAGCAACATTTCCAGCTCTC